TCTAAGTGCTTATTTGCTATTTGCTATTTGCTTATTTATTTATTAAAGTCATGCCTCCCATTTCACTATTGAAACGATTCTGGGCAACTATCCGAACATATTGAGATGACACACAGCTTTATACACTGCTATCCTTGGCTGGCGTGCAGGGAATGCTCCTTGGAGGGTGGTAAGGTATATGTAGGCTCAAGCTGCACCCAAGCAAGACAGGCTGGTGCAGTGAGAGTCCCCTCCAGCACCACTGTATTTCTGGGTAGAGAAGACGACTCCTGCTTTAGCCGTCGGAGTAGGCAGGGGTCAGAGGGGTGCGACGTGGCCATTTCCTAACGTGCACAGAAGACCTGGCGGCAGCAGCATGGTACTCTCTACCACCGCTTAGAAAGATTAACTGTGAGACTATAAAACACGGGGACACATTCCAAAATCACAACTGCTCCAGAGGGCAGAAGACCTAGGTTTTAGTTGGCTCCTAGATGTTTCAGCACACATTACGTCTCCATTGTAGGACATACGCTGAACATTAGCTTAGCTCCAAGTACAACTTAAAGGAAGAGGTTGAACTTACTTTTCTCCTCAAGACTGTTTTCTTTCTCCATCTTGGAAAGGCACTGATGAGAATCACTCTTTTCATTCCTTTGAGATGTAATCTATTAAAAAGTCTATGCTGAATTTTGCTTTCAGTTTTACTGTGCTTCTTTGGCTTACATAATACTTTCCTGAGAATTTTCCTCAGAATTACCACAGTAGAAACTTGAATTGCTTTTACTAATTAAATTTTATCCCTTGAATATTATTTTAGAAACGGAACAATTTGAAACAAAAATGAATTAGTATATATTAGTAAAATTTATTATATTCATGTTCAAAATATAACAATATATATTATATAATACATATATGCTTTGAGGTATGGATGCTAAAAATTTTGCTTTCAAAACACTTCACTTCAAAAGACCACAAACTCAAAGTAATGAAATAAATATGCAAAAAACCCAAGCTCCAACTCACTAAGTGCAGTAAAGGTACTTCATTATTGTGTGAAAATAACATTTCTGACACCGATTTTCTGGTTCCAAGTGATGAACTAAAAATTAAGACAAAATATTAAATAAATGCAGTATTTTCATAGGTAGACAAAATATTTTCCAACCAGTTTTCTTATTAATTTTGCCTTAAATTACATTTTTATTAGAAACCTTTCCTTTCAGGCATAAATTGCATCCATTCTTTCAAGTATATCAAATATATTTTAAAATTTTGTGTGAAATGTATTTAAGTATGTAAATACATTTAGTTGTTCTAACAAAATAATATATACCTGAAATATTAAGGAAGATAGTAGCTTTTTACAGAAATAGTATTTAGGCACATTACTCCATATTTCCTGATTGAATTCTAATTTCCAGATGAATAGCATTCATTTATTTTTTATTTTAATTTCCAAGACTATTTGGAATACCTAGCTTGACTATACTATTTTTGAAAAAGATCTTGGAATAGTAACTGATTAAAACATGAATGTGAGGCAATATGAAGTGAAGTTTGGTCTAGTGATTAAGATACTGGGCAAGAAATTCAGAGACCATGAGTTCAAGTCCTGCCTTAGCCATGAAAATCAGCTAGGTGACTTTGGGCTAGTCACTCTCTCTGAGTCCAATCCATCTCACAGAGTTGGAGGAAATAGGAGAAAGATGTGTTGCATATATTCAGCTTATTTGTAAAAATAATAAAGACAAGATTCAAANGGCAAAAAGCTGTATTCAGTGTATAAGACGCACCCAGATTTTCAGCCTCTTTTTTGAGGGAAAAAGGCCTGTCTTATACTCCGAAAAATACGGTACTTCCAAAAAAACCTTACCAAGAAAACTGCAGGTTTAGGCCAAGTAATCACCAAGAGTCAACACTAATTTGAAGGGACAAAAAAAATTCCCTTAATGAGTGTAGTAATATTTTAATGCATTAAGAATAGCTTTAAGAAATTACTTTTGTGTACTCAATTTGGTTTCAAATATAACTATTCACTAATTCAGATCTAACTATAATCTTTTTTAATTTTGAAGAGGTTAGGTTCACGGGTCTTCTATGAATGGAGTAGGGGATCCGTTGAAGCATGCAACCTGCTGCCAAAACACCTCCCTGACTCCCAAGAAACCAAGCAGGACTTGCAACCAACCCCCAGAAACAAGAGGGAATCTTTTCTCTGGAGATTGGCTGCAAAAGCCCCATGCTGTAAACAGTTGGTGCCAAAATCCTACTTGGATTTGAGGATGGCCTTATTAGTAACTCTGAGAGAAAAAGGGCTGCCTTTCAAGGGGATTCGGCCCCACAGGAGGAGCCTTTCTGGCAAGCAGCTTTTATTCCACCTGCATGACAATTTACAAGTTCACTTAACAACCACAACTGGAAAAGCCAGGATGACAGTTCTTTAGCAGACCAGACATGTGATTTCTTGCATAACAATTGCTGTGACCAAACAATGAATTCTCATTCATGATCACAGGACTATCGGTTGTTTTAAAGAAAAACATCCTTTTTAGATTATACCTGTATGGAATTTCATTCAAATCTTTGCTAGAGATATTACTCCATTCCAAAGGATCCTGGAAAAAAAATCAATGTATAAAAAATTATGTATCTGCAAATAACTCCTAACATTAATCTCTCCATTTATTAATTTTCAATCAATCCTATATTAAGCATTTGACCGTTATGCTTTAAGATAGTCCGACAATTGCGCCATGAAAGTTTTCACTGGATTTCTTCAGAAAGTTCCGAAGAAGATACTTAAATCTATGAAATGAAACCAGGATATATATATTTAATAGTGTTTGCCAGAATTAAGAGAAAAAGATTCCTTACCACACTTCAATTTGGGAGGCATACCACATGAAGAGGAGAAAGGAAAAACTGTTGAAATGTATTTTAATGTATATTTACTACTTATACAATAGGTAATAATTTATATTACCTATGGTACTTTACAGATATTTAAAACAAATATAATTAGCATCTATAAAATGAATATGACCAAGGTCTTCCTCTTAAAAATCAATCAGACCTCTAATGCTTCTCCGTCACACTGGAGGAGGAGGAGGAGAAAGGGAGAAATTTGCATTACAGCATTATTACAAAGCTGTTCTGAGCAAAAGTTTATATAATCACACCAGCTTATGCAACATTTTACCCAGAATTATTAGAAGTGCAAGGAAATTAATTGGTAATTAAATAAAGCTGTCCAGCATTTTTCAATTACCTCAGAGTTCGATTTCCATCCATGTTTTGTAGCATCGCTACTAATGCAATCTTCCAACATATCAGATATTGCTACTTGTGAGTCAATCATCTCCAGATTGCCAGGGATACACGACCAGTCTGTATTGCAGCCAACACTTCTATAGTCAGCTATTGCAGGCATTATTTCTGAATCTTGTGCCAACCATTCCCTGGGCCTACATTTGCTCATCATTGTTATCACAGTGTTTTGTGCCTTAGATGCCACTGGACTTTTAACATTAATGGCACGACTTGTTGTAAAACTAGCTCTAAAGTCAGCAGCTGCATCAGTAGCTTGGCTAATTGCACTTTGAAGATTTTTACGAGATTCATGGTATGTATTTGTGATGCATTTCAAGTCTGTACTAGAAAAATTCCCAATGCAATTTTCATGATGTTCACAGGAACTGTAGATGGAGGTTTTTATATCACTATTGACTATAACTGATGGTTTGTAGGCATATGTATTTGAATCTTCTGTATAATGAGAAATCTGGGGAAAAGGTAGTAACCTTATCTCCTGGCATAATATATTTGGATTTCCGGTTGTATTTAGATAATCATTTGTTTTAAGTATTTCTTTAGTAGTAGCAGTAATAGATTTCAGTGTGGTATCACTAAGAACTTTTACTTTAATCTTTTCTTCTATCTCAGCTTTGTTAGCTAAAAATAATTTTGAATTATTCTTTTTTTTATTAACTTTCATATGAGATGAATCTTTAACAACACTATAAGACATGCTAAGACTCTCATTTCTTTTTTCACCTAAGGTTATATGCTGGTTCTGTGTACAACTGACGTCTTGAAACATCTGGGGGAATGTTGAAATTTCATTGCCATTATAATGGTCCTTAACAACACAACTTGATGTAGAAAATGTATTTTCAGGTTTGTCCAATGGCTGCTGATCTGTAACATTATTTTCATTTACCATTTCCTTTTCTTGAAAACTTTCTGAATTATCTGTTTTCTGCCTATATGAACAGAGACAATCAATATAATCCTCTTCTTCAGCACTGTGATATTCTAACTGAGAGCCATCATCAAAATAATTGCATTTGTATGCACTCTCATTCTTAAAATAGGAGAAATCTGCATTAATATTTATTTCATTTGTAGTTTCTACTGCACTTGAAGTATTGTGTTGCTGTTTATGGACATACGTAAATTCTTCTTTGACTGATGAAATTAGGTTTTCTTTTGATAAGTTCAAACATGAGGCATCTACGTAACAAGACTGGCTTGAAATGGAATACTCAACTCCCATTTGAAGATCACTACAGGTATTATCAACCTTGTGTTTTTGGAAACATGTTGCCTCTTGTGATTCACTCAGGATGGATGATATATCTGCACCTTTTTCGACGCTGCATTTTCTACATTCCATGATCCAGGTCTCAGGGTAGTTATTTGAAACAATTATCCAAATGGCAACTTTATTAAATGTATTTTCTTAAAACTACTTCAGAGAGGACGGGATTTAACTATTGCTTTTTCACCTGTTTAAAGGCAAGATACATAAATTATTATTATTAAATTAGATTTTGTTAATTACTGGATTTTGTTAATTAAACTCATACCAAAACAATCAGAATAGCCAGGAGACCAGGTATATAGCAAGATTAATTGGAGGTTTTTCTTTCTAAGCTTCTAAGCATAATTACTTTACATTTAGGATTTTAATATATAGTTCCTGGAGCCTTAAGCATGATGTTTAATGAGTTCTGTTTTAGAATTATTTTATAATTTCATAAAAGTTTGAAACATTTTTTTCCAGAATGTATCTACAGCAAGCTAAATATAACTAAAGTTAGTTTTATAACCTTTAAAATGTAACTAAATTTATATCTGCAAAATTGTAACAAAAGGTCACAAATCCTCTGAAGATAAAGATTCCTATTGACGAGGGTGAGGTCTGCCAATAGAGTTCTTCCCCACCGCAGGGCAGGGGAGGGGCGCCGCCCGAAGGCAATGGCAGGTGAGGTGGGATGGCTCCACTAGTGACCGTTGGTGAAGGGGCCCTGGCAGGCCAGCAGAAGCAGTCCAGCCAAGAGCAGCGCAAGGCTAGCAGCAGCAGGTATGGGACGGGGGTTGGTTGACGGAGGCTGCAGAGGCCTCCAGTCTTACAATCCTGTGCAGGGAAGATGAAGGTTTGCTCTGGAGCTTTGGCAGAGCGTTGCACTGGGAGGCCTCCGCAATGGGGATCCCGCATTCCCCGCAGTCTGGAATCACCCCCGGAGCCAAGAAAGTTGGCGGGGGATTGCTTTGCATGGCTTGCATTGCACAGCATACCAGTAGCATTGAGTTGCACATCTTGCTTGCCTTTCCAATGCAAGATTGTGGGCCGGTGGCTTGGCGACCTGGGAAGACAGGGTTTGGGGTGCAAAGGAAGAAGGGCAATCTCCCCCTCCTCCCTCTGTCCTACTGCAATCCTGATGCGCTGCATGGCCTTCTACCACATCGTAGCAGCAGCCTGAGCAAGACCCAAGCTCCAGTGTCTTAGCAGCAGCAGCAGAGCTGGCAGGTAGGATGGGCAGAGGTCGGGGTGTGCCAACAGCTTGGCCCGTAGCGGCTGCGACCCTAGTGTTTTTTCCGAGCCCAAAACAAAATAAGACTGGGTCTTATTTTTGGGGAAACAAGGTATATATCATTTCATAGTACTTTACAGCACTCACTAAGCAGTTTACAGAGTCAGCATATTTTCCCCAGCAATCTGGGTCCGCATTTTACCAATCTCGGAAGGAAGGCTAAATCAACCTTGAGCCAATCAGGATCAAAAACCTGGCAGTGAGCAGAGTGAGCCTGCAATACTGCATTCTAGCCACTGCACCATCATGACTTATATCAGTGTGGTCAATAGGAAACTAAGCAAAAAAGGCTCTCATAGTGAAAAATCTCCCACAAATGGACATGCATTAAAAAAAAAAAGAAAAATTTTGTATGATAGACATCACATAGCATATAGATATAATTACATCCTACTTTCTGTATGCAAATCAATTTAGGCTATGAACACATACAGAGCCTCAAATGTGCCTAACTAAAGAAATTTAGCATCCCTCTCCTTGACCAATTTGCACCATCAGCACAAGTTAAAATGAAGGGAATTCCTTCAATTTAGAATAAAATAGAATAGAATAACAGAGTTGAAAGGGACCTTGTAGGTCTTCTAGTCCAACCCCCTGCTCAGGCAGGAAACCCTACACCACTTCAGATAAATGG